ATAAGTAGATTGTTAATTATACAAGTAAGTATATATATATATATATATATATATATATATGTATGTATATAAAGATTAATTAAATATAATATAATTATTATTATTGGTAATATAATTAATATATATTTTATATTTTTATAGTGGTCTGGATACACTAAAATGAGAGAGATTCAAAAATAGTATAAGTATGAGATTGTATAGTTGAGGATGACTTAAATGAATTAATTTGTATTACTTATACTGACAACATGCATCTTCTTTTCGGTAGCTTATCTTATCAGATCTCCACAATTAGGCGTGCTTGACTTGGAGTAATATAGGGATGGGTGACCTTCTGGGAAGTTTCCCATAAAATGTGCAGTAAGGACAAAACACGCTGAAAAGTGAAGTGTCATGAAATAACATCCTTGAGAGGCCAAATATGAGGCAAAATTTTTTCGAAGGTTATCTACAGATAAAATTTGTAGATAACAACTTTCCTGGGTTATCTACGAAAAACTTTCCGTAGATAACAACTTTTGTGGGTTATCTACGAAAAATTTTCTGTAAGTAACGTTATCTACGACCTTATTACCTACAGATTTTTGGTCATAGATAATCCGTAGATAATTAAGACTTATCTACGGATTTTCATACTTATATACGGATTTCTTCTGTAGATAATCCTGATTTTTCTTGTAGTGAATATTTTCAATTATTTAGAATTTATTATAAGATAATTTACAGAAATGAGATGTATTAAAGAATATTAATATAGTAAATGATAGTTATAAACAACATCAAATAATTAAACAACACAAACTAGAAACACCTTATTAATCATTTAGAGTAAAAAGTATATAAATTAAGCACCTAGCTAAATGAGGTTAGGAACACTTCACTAATTAAATACACATAGATACAAAATAAACAAATATAATAGCATAGAAAACTTAAAAGAATAAAAGTCTTTTCCCCTTACCTTAATAAAAAAGTGGAATTGCTTAAAGATAACTAAGACTGCATAAAAAAAAAAAAAAAAAATTCTCACATTCCTTCTTCTTACTCTTTCTCTCTCTTCCTCCTTAGTCTCTCTTCACATTTTCTCTCTTTTTCTTTCTCCTTGGTCCCCCATCCATCCCTATTTATAGGAGCCTTAAATTATTATTATTATTATTATTATTATTATTATTATTATTATTATTATTATTATTATTATTATTATTATTATTATTGTATTCATTTAGTTAGAAATGGATGAGATGATTTATTACCCATTGCTTATTCATAACTCCCTTTACATATAGATAAAAAAGATAAGAGTTGTAACGTACTGTTGTAGATAAAAAGCTACAGCAGGATTTTTTTTTTTTTAACTTCTCTCTTTTTATATAATAATTATTTAAATATCTATATAATTCATAATAATAATACAATTAAAGTTTTATTTAAAAAAAATGATTTTCTAAAAAATATTATAATGTAATTGAATTTTATATATCTCCATTTTAATTTACTAGAAATATAAAATTTCATAGCAAAAAAAATATCATTGTACTTAAATCTGTATGTTTTTTTTAAATGGTAACAAAAAATTTAAACTATTATTTTGATAATAATAAAATTGAGAATATTATATTATGATATGAAAAATTCAGAATATTACAGTGTCAGTCTAGAGTAGTTGGAGCTGGTGTAGAGTAGTCTTTTTTAGTGTCTTTTCCAAAATATATGGGATCTTCTCTTTCTTTTTCGACACAATGATTTGACATTTCCTTTTGAAAGCTTTTATCATCTTCGGGGAAGCTTTCCAATCGATCTATTAATGAATAAAATATTAATGCTTCTTAAAATATAATCCGACTCTTTAACGAAAAATGAATATAACATTAATCCAAATCATACACTTCGTCTGGTGTACTTCATCTTATAGATGAAATATTAGATCCGCTTCATCTGAAATAGTCTCTTTAAGAGAAAGTCATGGCTTCTCGTTGTTGTCATAAAAGGTGTTTTATAAAATTATAATCTATTTAGAAAATTGTTTGTTATCATAAAAACTTATAACACCTCAAGGGATTCAAGATTTTCTTTTGATTCTTCAGACATCCTTTGGATCTTACATCAACAACTCTTATGTTTACCTCAAAACTTGATTTAATAATCTATTAATTATAACTAAAATTACAAAGAACACAATAATTTTTAAACTAAGATAATGTGACTTTTACTCACTAATTTGATCATATCCCAAGTTCTAGACATCATTTTAAAGTTATTCCAAAGTCATTAGTTAACTAACATATGAAGAGATTTTTATTTAGTCAAGCACACCAAGTCACTGTAGTATATAAAAGAGTATGAGTTCTCGAATTTTAGGGACTTGAAAGATACTTATAATTTTGATTGTCCTAAAAAAAGCTTGAAATAGAAAGATTCATAGATATTATAAACATGATTTTTTTCATATTTCAATATTGGAAATTATCAAAAAGATGGCAAACAAAACATAGTAACATGGGAAGATAACAATATTAAAAGTTGTTAGGGTGGAGTTTCGCCAATTTCACCCTTATATTCTCCTAAGATCATATGCGTGATTTTCATCATCTAATGTTATTGAGTTCATCAAGGTCATTCCAAATTAATTCCTTGCATTTAGAAATTCTAAGGAGTCTAACTCAGTAAATGATTCTTCTATTTATCAAATTAGAAACCTTGCATTAAGTTTAAAAACTTATTCAACTAAGAACTCCAAATCTATTCCTAGTCTTTAGAGTTGTTAGGTAATTTGATTCAAAACTAGATTTAGAAAATGTTTTCCAACCAAAATCCGAATCAAGATCAAAGATGAGTGATCAAGTCACCTTAGCATTAAGAATATAATCAAAATCTCTAACATTGAATAATAGATTATGATCATATATGTAAATCAAAAGGAGTACATAAGAGTTTGATGATTGTTCAACCCTAACAAAAAGAAAAGTTAGCCACTCATTATGATGAAAGCTAATCCAAAATACATGGAGAAGGTGTAGAAGAAACAAAGAAAGATCCTAGAACCCTCGTTCCCAGGTGATTCTTGGAATCCTTGATTGCTCTATAATTTTCTCTCAAGTCTTTGTGGTTATCCTTTATTTTTTTCTCCCAAATCCTTATATATGTGCAGCAAAATAAAACAGAGTATGGAGGTGAGAGAGTAAACCGCTCAGTCATTTCCAAACGACTGAACAATTTGAAGAATTCTTCATGGTAAAACAATGGTTGAGCCCCTTTTGAATCTGTTGAGCCCCTAGGAAACCAAAAATATGCACCCATCTAGAGACAATCTGCTCAGTTCTTCCAAAATGGCTGAGCGATTAAGCCTTTGCATCAAATCCTGCTCTCTGGCTCTCAAGAGCTTAACCTTTTGAAATGGCTCATCCCTTTGAAATTGGCTCAACCCTTTCAAAAGGGCCTAACCTTTTTCCAAACACCTGAGGGGATTGGAGTTTTTTAAGACTTTGGATCTTCATTGAATCCTACAAGACATAAAACAAAAGTTAAGTAAAATTTTCATCAATTTTTATTAACTAACTAATTTACACAATTCTTTTGAATTTTGTAATAGTTTTGGGGTAAAACACAAATTTCATTCAAAACTAGTTAAATAAGTGTAAAAAAAATTAAGTCATTTAGGTAAAATTGACAGTTATCAACATCCTCCAAAACTACAATTCTTATATAGGTTACTCAACCTAATTTTGTTATATATCTTATCCAAAGAGATATTTCTCTTAGTTAGTGCTAAGAGAATGGAGAGTGAGAATTACTCTTTAGAGCTTCCACACCCAAGCCCATGCTAATCATGTCAATCTTGATCACAAAATCTTCACTTATTCTAAAATGAAATTTTCACGAATTGGAGGGCTTTCTATGGCCTCCAATTGCTGAATATTCGCTCAACACTAAAAGACATACTAATGTTTACTAATAGTACTTCTAAACATCCAATATTTCATGTACAAAAACTCATAAACCATAACAATTAACCAATATCCCCAAATCAACACTCATGAACCCCAAAACTCTAAAATGGGCATAAATGCAAATTCATCTATTAAATCAATATATAACACAATATGGACATGTTATTGACACTATTATTGTAGGGTGTTCTTTACCCCTCCAATCACATACATCATAACTTTAAGGAGTTTAGGACAATCCTACTACCCACATTTCTTATATGTACATAGGTAAAGATAGTTTCCACTTTCCTTCTCTTACCTTTGTTGATGATCTCAGTAATCCAGAATTTGTTTCTCTTGCTCCTCAAGCAAAAAATCTTCTATAGTTTCCTCTCAAGTGTCAAAAATTAATACACAACTTCTTAAGCATAAAACTCATAACCCTTAGTTTCATCTTACTTCAAACTTAGCTAAGAATTTAGGTTGGACTTTTGAAGTCCAAATCCATTACTTACTCATCTAACTACAGAACCCACTCAACCCATTATTTTTATTTTATAAAAATCAATCTTGATTTGTTTTCAAATTTCAATTAACTAAATTAATTAAAAAAATAAAAATAAAATTTATACCATAATTGTATTATTTTAATTTAAGAAAAACATGATCTAACATGACAATCAAAATCACTCCCCCTTTCTCCTTTAAAGTTGCTGTATGGAACATCAAAGCACACTCAAGGGATATATACCAAATTGGGCTATCCCATTATTCAAACCTTGTCCAACCCAAAGTTCACATAACAATATTTTTCATAATTAATATTATTTAGTCATCCCTATTTTATTTTATTTTCTTTTGACTTTTATTTTTATTTAACAAAATATAAGTTCTTAGTCTAACAAAAATTAATATATAGCCATTAAATTCTTTTAGATAAAATTGAAGTAAAAGAAATAGAATAAATTAATAAAAGTAAAACAAACAAGAAATATAATAAAATAAAGGAGAAAACGAAACTTAAAATCAAAGAGGGAATAGTCTTAAAAGGAAAGCGATCACTTTCTCTAATAAAAATTAAGTGTCCAGGTATATACTTTATAAATCATGCATCACAAAATAAAAACATTCGAATATATGATGATCATGGAAGTTCATAATCACTATTTTGCTTACAACTTGCAAAAATTAAACTTGGAACAAGGTAGACATAAATATTTTATTTATTATATATCATACATGAAAAGCTAGCATCTACTCATGAATTATTAACCATCCTTCAAAGATTCGACATTAACATGTGTGTGCATGCATGTTGTCCGATCTCTTTCTCAAGCATCTCTAAAACATATTCTGGCACGCTCATCAGAACCGCTATACCTTGTTCGCCATTAGAGTTGGTGTGTGGAGTAATGATGCATTCTCCAAGCATATACCCCTTGCCACCTTTGTTTACCGCACCATTATACAAAGCATTGCCCCACCCAAAGTTCACATCTGTGAATCCAGCCTTTGTGTGATCTGTCACGGCAAAAGACCCTGACCTAGGAAAGAAAGGTCTTTCTTCATTTGCTAAAAAGCCTACAGCGGAGCGCACATAGTCTTCATTTACTTTATACTTTGCCTTTTTCACTAGCTCCAAGGCATACCCTAAGGGATGGCTCAAAAGTTTTCCGACTGTGGTAACTTCCGACCCAGCCACAATAGCGTTGCCGTAAAAACCATCGGGCAATGGAGGGTTGAACCTACAATATCCAAAACGTGCGTTCACAATAATCAGCAAGGGGATTTCCTGATCAGGGTTTTGCAACTTTAATGCTGTTGTGTAGGAACGCCAAAGCCATGCGGTTAAGACCTCAAAGGATGTGGATTTGGTGGCAACGTGGTGAGGAAGAAGCGCACGAATAGAAGCAATCTCTTTGGGGCCAAAGAAGAAGGAACAGTTTTTAGGTTCGTACATGCTTCTTGTATCGGGTGGTACTAGTTGGTATTCATCACGAGTGTATGTAACTCTTGGTGGGTCTCTTGCGCATAGCATCTCCCTATGCCACACAGGGAGAATAGAAGGATTTGGGGCACCACGTGCTATTTCTGCCAAGGCCTTCAGGAATTGGCCAATTCCACTTGCATCACACATATTATGAATACAGCAGAGAGCAAAGATGAAACCGCCACATTTTAGACGTGTAACCTGCCATTTATATTTGTTAATTTGTTGTCAAACCTATACCGGTGTAGAAGAATATTATTTCCTTTTTTATTCTTATCCTATTGTTTATTTTCTATTGACTTTTTTCTTTTTTTAAGTAACATGATATTAATATTAAATAATGATTATCATAAAGGTTTGTATTCTAATTCTAAATAATTTAATTAAGAAACCGTTATCACTTATGTTGGTCCATAAAATTGCATAAAAACTTCTTATTTTATATTCCTACAATAATTTTTCTTAATTATTTAAAAATATTACACTAACACTCCTTGTATATGGTATTAACTCCCTAATTATTTTAAAAAAAATTACACTATGACCTCTCCGCAAAGGAAATTATTATAAACATTAAAAAAAGTAAGGAGTGTGAATATAATTTTATAGAATTTCAAAAGATATGAATGTAATTTACTTGATTCAATAAAAGTAAGATGAGTAAGATAACCTGAAGGTGCAAGATTGGACTATCTATTATTCCATCTGAACCAGGAATGTTGAAAAGGATCTTGTCGAAACAAGGGAATGGGGGCAACAAGTTGTCACCAAACTGCTCAATTGTGACATCTGCATCAGCCTCAACGAATATGACACCTTCTCCGTTGCAATCAACTATTAGTTTGCCATTAGGACACTCCCTAAGCCTTCCTGCGAAGGGATAGTAAAACACAAGTGTTTTGGCGAGTGCTTGTCTAATGACTTGAACAGGGTCTTTCCCTGCCATTGAAGGTCGGTAACCATAGAAAAATACTAATGGAAATCGCTCACGCAGGCAAAGTTGGTCATCTATGTCAGATAGCAGCTTAAGCTCACGGGGTGTGGGGGTAGCTGGGACTACTAGCTCCGGTGGCTTCGTACTTACTCTGAAATTTAGAGATGAAGTTTGTGGAACCATTTTATGCGTGTTATATGCAAGAGAAGCAAAGAAAAGATGTGGATGTGCAATGCTTGAATTTTGGAGATTGTATTTATAGCAGAAGGAATCTACATAGCATACCCTACATGCAGCGCTCATGCCTACATTTATTTGAACACAAGTAGTACCACATACCTAACATGCGATTATTTTTTAACTTAATCATTTTAAAATATATTTTATGAATAGTATCTTAATATTTTTTTTTCTTTCTATATGATAAGAGGATTTTAGTTGTTATGTATAAATTAATTGACAAAAAGATTTCCAGTGTTTTGAGAGCACCGATTAAAGAATCAATATATAATTATTGAATAAGTTTTTATTAAAAATACCGAAAAATGTGCAAATGTTTTTTTTTAAGACAGACTTTTTACTTTTAATTCTTTAACTAATATTTTAGTATTTTTTTAAAAAAAATTGTCACAAAATTTAAACATGAAAATAAATAAAGACTAAAATTTTACGATAAAAATTGACGAATAAAAAGGAATAAAAGAGTAACATTTAATATATATATATATATATAGAGAGAGAGAGAGAGAGGCGGGGAGAGAGAAGAGATCCATTTACTTCAAGAGTAAGTCTACCTAAATTATTTCATTTAATATTTCATATTTTACATCAAGTTTCAATTATCCAACCATTAGATTTAAGGTTCTTAATGTGTAGATCAAGTTTGTATATTTTAATAAAAATTAGAAATGATTTAATACTTTATTTCATTCATTCAAATTAACATATAAAATATTTTTGTGATTATCCATCAATTTTTTTATAATTAATGAAATGAAGTATCAAATGATTTTCAATTTTTAAAAAATTTACAAATTTGATCTATGTATTAAGAACTTTAAATTCAATGATTGGAGCATTAAAATTTGATGTAGAACATGAGTTATTGAATGGAGTAAGTCTCTGTATCTGCGTGTTATTTACATAAAATTTTAAATATTTATAATTAAGGATTTTATTTTGGTGACAACAATGGTGATGGCGATGACGGTGACAGTAATGGCTGAAATTAATCTCCCTCACCACCACTGTCACTGTCGTTGCTATTATTACCATTGTTATTGTTGTCGTCATCTTCACTACTACCACTATAGTTGTTTCTGCCACCGTCGTCGTCATCACCACCCCTGTTGCCATCCATGGTGATGGTAGTAGTGATAGCGGCAACAATGATGGTGACAACAAAGGTGATGATGACAATTGTGGTCGTGATGAGATTCCAATTATGACAATGACAACAATAATGGTAGAGATAATATGATGGTGGTGGTACATGTTAAATTGATTTGTAATTAATCTTTTAATTTATGCCATTAAATTTTAATTTAATGGTTGAATTAATCCCTCTCACACTCATAAAAAATTCCTCTCACAAGATATGTCTCTATTGTATGTGTATGTGCATGTATGTATGTATACATGTATATATATATATATTATACTGACAACATGCATCTTCTTTTCGGTAGCTTATCTTATCAGATCTCCACAATTAGGCGTGCTTGACTTGGAGTAATATAGGGATGGGTGACCTTCTGGGAAGTTTCCCATAAAATGTGCAGTAAGGACAAAACACGCTGAAAAGTGAAGTGTCATGAAATAACATCCTTGAGAGGCCAAATATGAGGCAAAATTTTTTCGAAGGTTATCTACAGATAAAATTTGTAGATAACAACTTTCCTGGGTTATCTACGAAAAACTTTCCGTAGATAACAACTTTTGTGGGTTATCTACGAAAAATTTTCTGTAAGTAACGTTATCTACGACCTTATTACCTACAGATTTTTGGTCATAGATAATCCGTAGATAATTAAGACTTATCTACGGATTTTCATACTTATATACGGATTTCTTCTGTAGATAATCCTGATTTTTCTTGTAGTGAATATTTTCAATTATTTAGAATTTATTATAAGATAATTTACAGAAATGAGATGTATTAAAGAATATTAATATAGTAAATGATAGTTATAAACAACATCAAATAATTAAACAACACAAACTAGAAACACCTTATTAATCATTTAGAGTAAAAAGTATATAAATTAAGCACCTAGCTAAATGAGGTTAGGAACACTTCACTAATTAAATACACATAGATACAAAATAAACAAATATAATAGCATAGAAAACTTAAAAGAATAAAAGTCTTTTCCCCTTACCTTAATAAAAAAGTGGAATTGCTTAAAGATAACTAAGACTGCATAAAAAAAAAAAAAAAAA